TCTCTAGGATTGGAAACAAATGTTTAGCATGTCCAGAGATATTACAGGGCAATGGGGGTATTTGGGCCACAGAGGGAATGTCGGCAGCCTCGATGCTATGCAGACAGATTTAAAGAAGAGATTAAAGATTTAAACCTACTGAAGATCCATTTCTGCACCACCCTGCAAGGCGTGAACACGTATGGAAAGGCCATGAGGGACCGGCTCAGGGCTGGGGTCTGCTCCCGTGTCACAAGGCACCATCCATCCATGCCTGCGGGTCTCCTGCGCACGGACCCCGGGGCCTCCCAAGGCAGCCGTGGAAAGGCGTCTTTGCTTCCCAGACAAATCCCTTGGGCAAGGGATTTAGACTTGAACTCCACGAAACAGAATAGAGACTGTGGGACATTCTCCACAGTTAGTTTAGTTTGGGGTGAAAAAATGGGTGAGTAACCGTTTCATCAATAACAGTCAATAACCCATTTATTTGGCTTCCTTGACCCTCCTGTTAGTTTTCACCCCCTTCAATTAATGTATGAAGTTTACTTGTTCTTTAATTCCCTGGTGTTACATAAGCAATATCTCGCAGAGGTTTGGATTCCCCTTCTGCAGCTAGATAGGAGGTTGAAGTAACTACAAGCACCTGAATCTGCAAAGGGTCCCCAAGTTCCTTGAAATGGGATGAATAAGTTCTCTGCTCTTGGGAGCAGAAACACCACTTTACATCATCACATACAAGTTTTATCTTTAGTCATTTCAGTGCATTTCAATTCTATAATGAAATAGCAGTTTACTAATAACAAAACTCAAAAGCCAATTTTGTACTGAGGTGCCTTTAGCCATTGGTTATTGACTGATGTCTCTTTCAGTCCCCCTCTTCTCTATTTTAAGTAGACATTCTGGTTTCTCTGCTGCATCCTACCTCTACCTTAGAGAGTTTTCAATGCCCAGTTCTGCCTCCTTAATCCTTCCTCTATAACTGAGAGATTTGCTGGGGACGTAACTCCTGACTAGCTATGGAAGAAGTCAAATCCACAGAAGCTTATTTAAACATATATTCAATTCCTACTACGCGATAAGATCAAAAGCCAGATTATTTTTCCATATTTTTAACGAGTGCCCCGTTACCTTTATCACCAAGTTCTCTAAAAAAGGTCGGTCCAGGTTTAGCTTTTGTAATGTTTGTCAGTGCAGCATCTACCTCCTTTAAAGACACAAACGAGAAAATATAAAATCAGTTTTGAAAGAGGAGACCACTTGGTTGGGTAACAGCAAGAGCAGCAAGCTCCTTTGAAGAGGGTAAGGACCATTTTCCTTACCTTCTTTGTGAGTTTCCTGGCTGGAGTTTTACCTATAATAAATAAAAAAAAATCATCATTACACAATAACCAACTCCGACTTTAAACTTTGATCAAGTTCTGTGACATTTCTTCAGATTTTTATGGGAAAATACTAAGTAATATGAAACAGAATATTTTGTAGCGGGCAGTTTGTTTCTAATTCCCACAACGACAAGAAAGGACAACATATTTTATAATACAAGCAGCCTGTTCAAATGTTCTTGCAACCCAGGTGGAACGACGAGCAGCTCGGGTATCGCTGACCAACTTGCTAGTCTCAGTGCACTGGCTCATTGCACAGGTCTCTAGATCACTTCTCCTCACGCAGCTCCCAGCCCTGTGTCCTCCACACTTTCCTAGGCCCATGTTGTGGCCAAATGGAGCTGCATCCTCAGGAACACAACAAGTTTCCTTAGCAGGGGTGGTAAAAGATGTGCCCAACAGTAGAGGGGCTCCCCTTGCAACCTTTAGCTTCAAGCCAGGGAAGGGGCTGGAACATCCCTGCTAGCAAGTGCTTGGGTTTCAGCCTGGGCAAATCAGTGCACTGGTCTCTATTCTCTGCACCAGCAGCAACATTTTTGCTGATAAATTCCTCTCCCCACCCCCAATCCCAAATCAGCCTAAGGCAGACACCTGGCACAGAACATTTCAACCCAAATGTTTAAGTTTGACAAAAGTTATAGGCAACTAAAATTAGGGTTTTATAACTAGAGTGTTGAGTGACCCTAACAACAGGTGCTGCCAGCACCACCTGTTACTTTACTATGTATGAGTACATTTTTGTGCAATGTGTATACTTATATTCACACACATAAAGTCACATAGATGGATACCTTCTATTTGAAATGGAGAAAAACAAATCCACAGTTCTGCCTCATTTGAGATAAAAGAAATCAGACTAATGACAGTCTGGCAGAGCATGCAAAAACATATTCACCACTGCGTCCAGCAAGACAAAGTCCAGCTCCGGGTGATGTAACTCCACAATTTAACGCTGCTCACTCCTGTAGAGCCCTCCTAATGAATGGGTATTTGGCAAATTATGTGATTTAGACCTCAGTTTAACGTCTGCTTTGAAACGTCACCTCGTCTGCACAGTGCTTTTCAATCTGCAACTCAATCACACTGCAGCAGCCCTTCCGGTTAGGGGAGACCTGCGTGGCAAGACGCCTGGTCAGGGGGAGCAAGGCAGGCTGAACGTGCTCCTCTCTCCATCCACGTCTGACCAGCCCAGGCAGAGTGAGCAGGAGCTCCCAAAGACGGGTGCTGCTTTTCAGGGAAAAGCAAAATTTGGAAGAAAAAAAAAGGAAAAGTCACTGTACAACAACTTTCCCTGGAAATGCTTTCTGCAATTGCTGCCTGCTTTGAAGTCAGCCAGGCACCTGTGTTTGGTTAACAGCAGCTCCTCTCATTCAACCTGCTGCTGGCCACGTGAGCGTGCACCCATGGAGGAAGGACACGGCTACCTCACAGTGCACCAAGCGCGGGCCCTTTGCCGGCGTCTTCCAGGGGACGAGGAAGGAGGTCAGCAGGGGCTGCAAGCGGGAGCACAGGCACAGGCAGGTGCTCTGGGAGCAGCCCCGTGGCACCGGGTGGCCTCAGGGGTGAAGGAAGGGGAGCGGCGCGACGCAGCGGCCTCGGTGCTGGTCTCAGCGGTGAAGGAAGGGGAGCAGCGCGACGCAGCGGCCTCGGTGCTGGTCTCAGCGGTGAAGGAAGGGGAGCAGCGCGACGCAGCGGCCTCGGTGCGCGCCTCAGGTGTGAAGGAAGGGGAGCAGCGCGACGCAACGGCCTCGGTGCTGGCCTCAGCGGTGAAGGAAGGGGAGCAGCGCGATGCAGCGGCCTCGGTGCTGGTCTCAGCGGTGAAGGAAGGGGAGCAGCGCGACGCAGCGGCCTCGGTGCACACACTGCCCTCGCTCCATCGTGCAGGGGTGAAAGGAGCCAGGAAGGGAGGAGCAGCATTTGCTGGGCAGCAGGAGGAAGAGGACAACAGTCCTGAGCCCTGCAGTGCGCTCAGGAGAGAGAAGTAAAGAGACTTAAAAAAAAATCTAAGTAGGAAATATGGCAGAGTAATAAACATGAAACCTGTTTTTGTTTAATGACTCTTCTCAAATGGGTTTAGAAATCAGAATTTCTTCCAACTTAGTTAAATGAAAATGGCATATGGATCTCAGCAAGTCTGTACTGGTAGTCAGTAATCTTGTTAACAAAAAAAGTCTTACATTTGGGGTATTAGTGTTACCTTTCATATTGTTATTTCTGTAAAGTATTAGACTACAACCTTACAGTAATTTTATCACTTAAATTGCCTAATGAGTTTCCGGCAATAATTATTTTAATATTTGCTAGGAACGAAATACAATTACACCCTATTGGCACTGTCACCAGATAGAAACATTTATGAAGATTCAAATCTCAACTTTCACTTAGAAACATTAGCTACTTTTATTGTAGCATTCGTAATACTAGTTGAACACTAATTTAGCTCTTACTGCTTCTCCTTCCCCGGTATTCCCTTCCCAACAATGCGCTCCCTTTAGAGCACCAACAAGGAGAGCTTTGTAGACAGCGCGTTCCCGTATCGGATGTGCGGTCCTCCGAGCAACAAGGTCTGTTGAGGCCTTGTCTCCCATAATTAGGAAAAGAAGGCCAACTCCTCTTCACAACAAATGCACGGCAAAGGTATCAACAAACTTCTTAGCCAATTCCGACGCTGAAAAAGAGACCCCTTCCTCGTTATTAATTAAACTGGGGTGTAATTGGCGCTGTCATTCCTGATACATGACCACAAATGTATCCAGATCTAAGTCTCTCTCTAAGGAATATAGCCAAGGATATAATTATTGGAAACTATTTTATGTAATAAGAAAAAGATCTGAAGGATTCACTTTTCTATAGTTTTATTCTTTTAACTTTCAACTGATATATTTTTAATAACACATAAATCAATGGCATATTAGAAAACCTGCTCATAGTAGTAACAGTCTTACTTTGATACCATAAAGAGAAAGTCAGAATTTTTATTGTCCTTAACATGAAAGAAGGGGAAGAAAAAAATTTTTTTTTCTACAGATCTGCCAAGACAGATGGAAATCCTTGATTAAAGTAAAATGAGTATTTTCAAATGTCTGTACCTACTTTACAGATGCCATCATCTGATTTTCACTATCTATCTATAGTGGATCCACGAAGCAACAGGTATAGACACATCTTTTGCAAACAAAAAAAAAGCCTTCTTAGCTTTTAAAGTTAATCTATTGGAATAAATACCAAGTCTACTTACAAGCATACAAATTCTGTGCCGTTAGCCAGGAAAGTTAGCTGACAACCGTAATTAAAAAACCCTGCCAAGAGCAGCTACTTCAGCTTTAATTTGCCCTCGGCAAACCTGGGTCTTTTGTCACATGTATTTCTTACAATAGAAGTGTTTCCATCATCTATCTGTTTTTCACACTGTTATGTAGAAAGAACCTGACATCAATGTTAGGATTAACATTAGGAAAGGGCTGAATTAAACAAGTACCCACTTGTGCTCAGCAACACCCATTTACACCCATATAGCTTGGGAAAGGCTTAGATCTGACAAAAGATATTTAGAGCCAAAGAATGAAAAACATCAGTAAGATCAAACATTATAACAACAAGAATCAAATGCGAAACAAAAGCTGAGAAATTTCTCCTTGAGATAAAGCAGAATTTCACACATCTTAATAATTGCCCTGATTTCTTAATATAGAAGTTAAATATAATTTTTAAAGCAATCTTTCTCTATAGCCTTAACTTCAAACTAGAACAGTAACTAAACGGACACCTTTTACCAGGAAAACAACAGATGCCTATCACTTTTCCAGTGAAGTCTCTGAGAAAATTGTACCAGATTCTCTTTTTTCAGTTCTATTTTAGACAGACACAGTCATAATCAAGTTAAAAAAAAAAGAAATTGCAGTTTTTTAACATTTATTTTGGCTGGCAATCTTCGTTGAAGCCTGTGAAGTTCAAAATCAGATTGGGGCACTATGAAATTATCAGTTATTCTCTGAAAAACCATAGAAAGAACAGTACTCTGTACATCACAATTCAAAGAAGAGGGCTCTGACTCTGCAAACGGGTGCGGGACGAGCCCTTGCGGTCAGGCGGGATCTCGGCACAGCCCTCGCCAGGGCACGGCGAGGAGCGGGGCCCCGCTACAAAATCCGCTGCCAGCAGCTCGGGCCGGGGCCTTTCCGGAGAGCCAGGGCCGCAGGTTTCCTGCGTTGGGGACAGGGACTTGGATTTCTCCTTTCTAGCCGATCTGCAAAAAATCTGAACTCGGAACATTGTAGGTCTGTACCCAAGTGGATTGGGTTAGATAACAATCATATATGTGGATTTCCTCTGGGAAATGTGGTTAAAGCTTTGGTTTAAAACAGTCTACAGTACACAATTATGAAAATTAAATAGTTTACATTCAATTCCCAGCTTTTTTGATACTGGACAGATAGCTTAGCTGAGCGAGTTCTCCTGTGTTTATCCTGTTAGACTACCAACTCCTTAAAGAAAAGATAGTCTCCTTTGTGCCTTTTCAAAGTGCTTGCCATAATCTAAAGGACAAAACTCAAATCAGTAATTTAGACCTTTAAAAAAGCTTACTTTTGTAATATTGGAAACAGATAAATCAAGCAGAGTCAAAAAATAAATTAAAAAAGGCTTTTTGAAGGCGTGATAAAACAAGTAGTCAGATTTCTATGATAACTTCTAGTAAATCAGTATCTGAATAAATGAGAGCACTATTTAAAGGAGTTGAGAATACACTTCAGCTAGAAATCTTTTATTGAGACAAGGCATTACTCTACTGAAATATAATTGATAAAAGTCATGTCAATCAGCCAAATTAGTGAAATGTAGCACCCTAATTAAAGCCCTGGGCTGCCCAGTGGAAGGGGCAACACTGCGCTCCTAGAAGTTTCCCAAACATTTTATAAGACAAGTCTTGTATCTTTTGGAAACATGTGTTGCATCTGTCCTTCTTTATTCA